CGACATGTCCATTCCATAGTAAAGCTCGTGCCGAGCTTTCATCTTTGACCATGGCTTGAGATTAGGAATCCGTCATCGTCATCGAGCTGCCCATGTACCATTTGTCTCGTTGTTTCGACTGGGTTCAGTAGGGTACTCTTGAAACCATTATCGCCATAAGATTGCCCATAAACCATTTGTTGTTGTTGCTTTGGTTGAACACAGGGTTTGTATTGTTGATTGCTCATTGGGCTTCGTTGCTGGATCGCTCCTCGCGAATAAGGACAGGCGGAAAAGGGCTTGTTAGAAAGGCACGACTCTCGCACGCCCTGTCAAAAAAAAGAGCTCGTCTCGAGCTTAGAATCAAGCGCAGCAAAATGAGCTTAGAAATGGGATTGTTATTAAACTGGTGCGCGAATAAGGCTTCCGTAATTAAGGAGGATGAATGCGATAATGATGATATCAAAACGTCGTGGGAATGCTTGGAATGTGGATAAAACACCATGGTAGGAAGCATAAGTTAATACTTGAAAGGCCTTGATGTGTAGCCATGGGTTGGCATAAATGCTGAAGAAATACATATACGTAAAAAAATGCAGACAATCATTTCAAATGCAAATCAAAACTGTTAATGTGACAGAATGTTCAAAAATTTGAGATTTTAAAGATTTATCGTTACAGCATTCAGAAAAAGAAAATCAAGGGCAACAACATGAAATTTTCGGTATCTATCATGTGGGCAACTCATGAGGGAACACTTCCCTAACGTTGCCCACAAGGGCGTGGTGTGAATTTTTTTTTGAATGACTGAAAGGCTTCTCCGAGTCGCCCATCGGAGAAGTGTTTCTTGTTATAGTGCAGACGCTTGCGGCAAACTTACTCTGCGCCAGTAGCCGCTGCTTAAATGAAGTTAATGAGAAGTTTGCTACTGGCTCTCAAAACATCCTCTTTTCAGACGCTCTGAACATCTGATGGCAGAAAACAATAATACAAAGGTGAACACAATATAATGGGGCATATAGTTTCTGATTTCCTCATGCTGTGAGTGTAGATTAAAATTCGAACAGAAAATCGGTTATGATACAATGGTGAACACTTGACATGAGAACAACGACGACAACAAGATTTTCATAAAACGGCTATACGAAAATACTAACAAGGGAATGGTCAGAAATCGAAGTGGCCATTCCAGACAAGCTGCGTGGCGTTAGATGCAGCATGAAGCGCTGACTCTAAATCTGTCTTCTTTATCTGCTTATCGCTTTTCTGGACGAACTTATAAGCCATTAAAGACCATTATTTTGCTTAGAAATTATGCGTGAAATTGAAAATTTAGCCGTACAGAGCCTCTTTCGCCTCAATGCTGGCCAAAACATGCAGCTAGCTTACTTAAAATTTTTGAAGCCAGAAGCCGAGCTAGTGCAACAATGTGCTCAATTTCGCTGTTTTTACGTACGATTATTTCACAATAAAACCGCTTGTAGCTTCGTCCACAGAAGCGGGAAGCAGATAAGAAAGACAGTTTCGAAGCCAGCGTTTTATACTGCATCGAATGATATACAGCTTGTTTGGTTTGGCCACTTCGACTTCTGACCATTCCCTTGTAAGTAGGAAACAGAATAGTTTTGATGCCACTGTACTATTTCTTCTACGTTTACTCGCACTTTTTTCTTAGCCTCGCTTTCGCATATCTGAAACTGTCGTGAACGTGTTAGTCGCGCGAGCTGAGACTCGTACAGGACTCTCGCACGATCGTTTTACAATCAGAAAAATACTGATTTCGAATCAAAGGTAAGTGTTCGATGAACCGAAAAGTGCCAGCGACGCTTATGCTGTCATTTTCTTTCTGAAATGGACAGCTATGGATGTTTCTTGCACCACGGCTGAATTCAGTTGAATTCAAATAATTATCTTATGTTTTGCTAGAATTTTTTTTGTATGGTAGATGATAACCGATGGTTGAAATCCACCTGCTAAGCGCCGACGAAAATGCAAAGTGAAAGAATGTGTATCCCTTTCGCCACTTTTTTTTGGAAACCTATGTTGAACGGTCTTGGATCATTTGTCAAAAGTATAGAATAGTAGTTTCAAGAAGTAGTGGCTGATGCTGAAAAAAGATCAATTTCACCAGTATTTTCCTTTTTTGATGAGAGAACAAGTAAGACATAGGTCTCACCTCCAAACCTTTTCAAAGATTTCAATGGATGAAGTGAGAAACCAAACGATAAAGCAAAAAAAAAACTTTTTAAATATGCAGTTTGTATGGTCAGTTTTGTCAGTCATGTCATGCAACCTTTTTGAAAAGTGCCATGAAGGATTGTTGCAATGTCAAAGGACACCGCTTAATGGAGGTTTTTTGACCTTTTTGAATTTCTTTTCAAGAAACTAAGCTGTTTTAGAAAAAAAAACACTTAGTAAGTTCCGAACCCGAGGCTAGATGCCTTGAACACTAGCTGTATTGCTCGGCTGCAAAAGAGTGCTTTTACATTTGAAAAAATTTGTTAGTGACATTTTACAACCCAGAGTGAGACCCTTCCGTCTTTTTCCAGAGCTCTGAACATCTGAATTCGACCGAGAAGGATGATCAGGCTACTAAATGACTTTTTTTTCTGGACCTCATAAAGTTTGGGTTCAAAAAATCGGTATAATTCATGCACAGTAGTTGACGGTTTCTAAGAAAGTACTCGACGTTGCTTCGAAAGTGAGACTTATGTAACAAAGTTGAGAAATTGGTGAAACAAAAAAAACGAGATTTTAGCAACTCAAATCGATAAGTGCTTTCATGAAGATTGAGAGCGATTTAAAATTTTATTTATAAGTTGCTAGCAAAACATACGAGTCTTGAAGAATTTTTTTTGAAAACTCTATCGCTGATCTACTGAAACAGAAAACTACTATTTTTGAGCTCAAATCTGCGTAGCAAGTAGCAAGAAGCTGCTTCGTGAAGCGGCGGTACTGATGCTCGTGGCAGTAGACTAGGAAAATTAGTTTTTTTTGAGTTGACTGTAACCAAAGTCTAGGAAAATTAGTTTTCTGCATCTCCTTTGATAAGATTTACATTCCTAGAACAGCAAAACAAAATCTCTTTTTCTGAGTCATCAATTTTTCCTTGAATCCTTCACCCTGATTGTCTTACTTTATATGAACATAACATTATGACTAGAATCTTTATTATATATTTATAAATAGAATGAGAGGGGAAGGAAAACCGCCGGTCACCCGGTAAGGCACAGCTCATCTGGAGATTCTGGGCACCGCCCAGTTCGTGGGGACTGTCGGACCATCTAATTAGTCTGCGTCTCGACATGTCCATTCCATAGTAAAGCTCGTCCCGAGCTTTCATCCGCAGAAGGGGGCAATAGTAACCATTTTCGCCATCAAGATTGCCTATAAACCATTTGTTGTCACTGACTGCGGGCAGGAAAAATGCTGTTGATCGCATCATTGCTCAGTCGCTTATTGCTCTTCGAATGCATGTGGACAGGGGGAAAAGGGCTGATAGGAAAAAACGGCTTTCGCACGCCCTATCAAAAGAAAAGCTCGTCTCGATCTGGAGAAGAGCAAAATAAGCTTGCAAATTGGATAATTATCAAAGGGTATGGCTTCCGCAACTGTTCCGAAGGTGGAATCATGGCGATAATGATGATATCAATACAGCGTAGATGG